CTATAAAATGCGAGCAAATCTAAGAAGGAGGTTTAAAGAATTTAGTGTAGGCGATTATGTGATGGTCCGGATACATCCGGAACGGTTTCCTCCAGGAACTGTTAAAAAGTTACATGCACGAAGTGCATGACCTTTTAAAATTCTCAAGAAAATTAATGATAATGCTTATGTTCTCGACCTTCCTGAAGGTTTTAATATTGGTTCGACTTTTAATATTGAAGATTTAGTAGAGTACAAAGGCCCATATTTTAACCCTGACAACCCACTGGTTGATGAGCCTACCCCTGAGCCTCTGAGAGCTCCCCTTTACCTCCACTTCCCCAGATGTCACCTACATATACAGCACATGACATTGATGCTATTATTGATGATAACATTGTTTCTACTAGCAATGGTGGTATCCGCAGGTATTTGGTTCGTTGGAAAAATAGACCTGAGTCTGATGATACTTGGCTCGATCGAGGTGATTTACAGAGGCTGGATCCAGATTTTCTTGAGCAGTATGATAGCCGTCTTGATTTACATTCGACAGGGTCGAGTTCTCTCCCACCTGGGGAGAATGATGAGGACATCCAGGCACGTGCACGGGACTTTCGCCGTGTTTATCAGCGTAGGAGACGCCGTATTCCAGCTGTACATCAGATCGCAGGGATATGGTTTTGATAGTTTAGAAATTTCAGTTATTTTTTAGTTAGTAGTTGATTTCAGATTAGAGTTTTTGTTAGTTATTTAGTTGTTATTGGATAAGATTGAGAGAGATTAGATTGAGCTTTTAAATTCTGTAATAATCTCTATATAAACATGATTTGTAATCAGAGTTAGAATCAATGAATATTTTTTGAAAGTAATTGCAATTACCTGAGTGATTGAACGTGTGAAACGTGGGTGTGAAACCCTAGATCGTCGCTCCCTCTTCCTGTTCAAGCAGCCGCCGTCGCGATTTCATCCCCATCGTCGTCGTGACGCCCTGTCCTGCCGTCCGCTCGCATCGTCAATCGTCGCCCTTCGCTCGTGAGCAGACGTCGCTCGTTTTCCCTCAGGTCGAAGTCGGGCAGACATCGGGTCTAGGGCTTTGAATTGATCCGGTCTTCACATTTGGGATTGATTTATTTTGGTTCAGATCATCTTATTTCATACTTTGGTCTGGTTTATTTTGGCTAGACTTGATTGGTTCAGTTGGACCAGACCTTGATATTAGACCCGATCTGCAGTGTTCTGACTTTTGATTCCGCAGTTCGTTAGTGTATGGCTGATCCTGACGCTGAAGACTACGACCCTATGCTTGACCCAGAGACTGGTATTGTTGATTTGCAGCTTTCCTCGTGGTTCGATTACCGGACGTCCGAGAGTGTTCCTGAATACGTCGAACGCGTGACTCATCAGCTTGTAGACAGTGTGGAGAGCAGTTTGGGCATTAGTTATTGGCACCGACGTTTTCATCCAGATACGCCGCTTCATCCCAATTACGTAGCTCTTGGAGGAGAACTTCCGCCACTCACATTTGGAGTTTTTACACCGCCTCCAGAGGATCCTCCCATCGAACCAGTCCAACCCGACGAAGGTTTAATTTTCTTACGCCCAAGTATTTTCGGAATTGCTATTGCGTGCATGTTATTCTCAATTTTAGTATCAATTGCGATTATGCTGTATTCAGTTTGAATAGTGAGCGAGTGATTCTGTTGCTGAGTATTTCTGCTTGTCTAAATATTACAAATTGAACTGTATTAAGAGAACAAATCATTACATTAATTATCGGAATAATTTTACAAAGGTTCAAACTTAGTACATTGTAACTTTTGCTTAAAAACCATCGTTCGCTTCATTTTATTCTTGAGCTTCCTGCCTAGATTGATCGCTGATTTGGTGAAGCATTGTTGTCGTTGATCTTGCACCTGCATTCACATTGTTTCACATCATAGGTCCTTCTTGAAACTTACCCTCACCTTAAAACTTTCTCCTCCGATTTACCTCTCAAAGTGTTTGGCTGCACATCCTTCGTCCATGTTCATCATCGTACCAAATTTGATCCCAAGTCCTTAAAATGTATTTTTATTGGCTACTCTTCACATCAAAAGGGCTACAAATGTTATTCTCCTCAAATTCATCGAGTCTATACCTCCATGAACGTTACATTCTTTGAAACTCAGCCGTTCTAACCCAAATCACAAATTCAGGGGGAGGATGCTAGAGAATTTGAAATTTGGGACATTCTTCAAGATACTCAAGCCGTGTTCCCCTCAATTCAAACAGTCCCTCTTCCATTACCACCTACTTCATCCGAAACGGTATCTCAAACAATTGAAAATCCTCAACTGTCTGAATCAGTCCCTAACACAGTTCTCAATTCTCAACCTTCTCAAGAACTCATTGTCTACTCAAGAAGGAGACCTGTTGAGCAAATAGAGGCCAACACATTGTTGCAGGACTCTCAAGCACCTGATCCAGACTCACATGCCTCAGTCCATAAAGGTATGGATATTCTTACACCACTTCTTGATGATTCTGATAAGCTCATCGCTCAAAGGAAAGGGTGTATGACGGTGTACTACTCACCCAATTGAGAAATATGTTGCTTATGGGAATCTAACGCCCTCATACAGAGCTTTTGTTACTAAGCTTGATAGTGTCCAGATTCCCCAGACTATCCAAGAAGCTCTCAACGATCCTGCCCGGAAGCGTGCAGTAGAAGAAGAAATTCGAGCCTCGGTAAAGAATGGTACTTGGACTCTCACAGAATTGCCTCAAGGGAAGAATCCGTTTGGATGCAAATGGATATTTACAGTGAAATACCAGGCAGATGGGAGTATAGAGAGGTTTAAAGCCAGACTCGTTATAAAAGGTTCACTCAATCTTATGGTATTGATTATCAAGAAACATTTGCCCCAGTTGCTAAACTTAACACTGTTCGAATTTTATTATCTCTAGCTGTGAATTCAGATTGGCCTTTGTATCAGCTAGATGTTAAGAATGCCTTCTTGAACGGTGATCTTGAAGAAGTGTGCATGCAAATTCCCCCTGGAATGGAGAATTCCAACAACTGTAGGCTTGTATGCAAACTGAAGAAAACTCTATATAGACTAATACAGTCTCCACGTGCCTGGTTTGATAGGTTTGCTAAGGCTGATTGAGATAATGGCTATACTCAGTGCCAATCTGATCACACGATGTTTGTGAAATTCTTAGATGGTGGTAAGATAGCTATTCTAATTGTTTATGTTGATGATATAATCCTGACAGAGGATGATAATGAGGAGATTACAAACTTGAAGAAAATATTAGCAAGGGAGTTTGAAATCAAAGACCTAGGAACCCTCAGATACTTTCTGGGCATGGAGGTAGCTCGATCCAAGGAGGGAATTTTCATTTCCCAAAGAAAGTACATACTAGACCTGTTGACTGAGATAGGTATGTTGGGATGCAAACCTGCAGAAACTCCTATGGACTCTAACAGACGGAACAACAAATAGGCAGATCAAGTTCTAGTTGATAAAGGAAGATATCAGAGATTTGTTGGGAAACTAATTTACATGTTACACGCTAGACCGGATATTGCTTACTCAGTGAGTATTGTCAGCCAACATATGAACAATCCCTGTGAAGAGCATTTGGAGGATGTATACCAAATTCTAAGATACTTGAAGATAGCCCCAGGACATGGATTAATATTCGATTAATATTCAAGAAATCATCAAGCCGAAAACTTGAAGTTTACACTGATGCAAGTTGGGCTGGAGAGTTAACTAATCGAAGATCTACCACTAGGTATTGCACATTTGTTTGGGGGAATTTGGTGACATGGAGGAGTAAAAAGCAAGTTGTAGTCACGAAGTAGTGCAAAATCTGAATACCGTGCACTTGCACTCGGAATTTGTGAAGGAATGTGGATTCAAAGAGTGTTAAAAGAACTCAATGTTGAAATAGATGGGTCGGTTACAATGCTTAGTGACAGCCAAGCAGCAATTAGCATTGCTAAGAATCTTGTGTATCATGATAGAACAAAACACATTGAAATTGATCGACACTTTATCTCTAAAAAGTTGAATGGTGGCATCATTCAACTACTTTACGTCCCTTCACGACAACAGATTGCAGACATCCTCACCAAGGCGCTTTCCCGAACAAACTTTGAAGAATTAAACTCCAAGCTTTGTTTGTATAACATATACAACCCAGCTTGAGGGGGAGTATAGAATAATATTACATTGAGTTAGACGGGTATTAGAATAGATTTTATTCTATTTTTGTTATATAGTTAATTCTGAAAATTAGTCAATACCAGAATTTAGTTAGTTTCCTTGTTTAGTGGGATTCTCTAATTACAGAAACTTTCCCGTTTACTGTTTTGATTTCTTAGGATTTGTTTCCTATTTGTTGGGCTGATTAGTTGTCCATTACCGTGTATATAAGGGGCAATAACCCTCAGTTTCTAATAAGGAGGATTTCAAAATTTCCTTAACTCTTTCTTCAAAGGCAATTCACATGCCAAAGCACTTCACATTCTCAAGAATTTTCATAACTCAATTTTTATTCATCAATCATCTATTCCTCATGGAGCATTGCAAGTATTATCTATAGATAAGACCTAGCAATCCACATTTGGAAGTAAATTAAAATCAATCGAACCGAAACCTAACAATCATAAAAAAGATGCAATCAAATAGAAAACCTGACTGACTTAGAAGGTAATATCAATACGACATCCTAAAGAAATCCTAACTAAATTAAAAGATTACATAAAGTAAAATCAAATTCTAGCAAACAAACTAAGATCCTAATAAAATCTAATAAATCTTCATCATGATTCACATGTGGGCCTGTCCTGCTACACCTATTCTTAAAGAAATCTTGATTTTCTCATCTAACTCATTCTTCCTACTCACCTCTAAGCACTATTCTATCATTTGCTCTTCTAATCTTTCTGACTCAAAATTCTATATTCAAGATTTGATCTACGTTAATTAGTCACTTCAGATATTTCCTCTTTTTTAATTCATATATAGGTTAAAGATGACTTGGAACAAGGTGTGGTGGGGTCAGTAGCAATTCCACCTGATGATGCAGGGGAAGAAAAGGTGATTGACTCCCTGGTAACTAATGTGGAGGCGATGATAAAAGCTGACAGAAAAATTACTGCTCTGAAGCAATTGCAGGTAATTAGAACTTTCGTAATAGTTCCCAACTTCCCAATCAGTGAAAGGTATATAGTGTTTGCTAACAAAATTTAGTTTTACATTTATTTTTGTTCTTTTCTGCATCCAGGGACATATATGGAGAACTGGGTTTGAAAGTAATGAGTTGCAGGGAGCAGTTTTCGAGGATGTTCCTGAAGCTCTTGAGAAGTGGCATGCTAATGGCATCAAGGTCATTTTTGCTTAATCAATTCCTGGAATGCTATCAATAATAACATGGATTGAGTAGCTATATAATTCTGAATAGGCAGTTTGATTCCTTGAAATAATGCTATCAATAATAACATGGATTGAGTAGCTATATAATTCTGAATAGGCAGTTTGATTCCTTGAAATTAGCAGTAAATGATACATACTTCTTACATTACGCAGTTTTACATGCAGAATGTGATCCACTAACCAGAATTATATAGATCTTTCTTTCCCCCACTTTATCTAGTTATCATACATTACAAATTTACGATTTTTGTATCATGACTGTCCTATAGTTTCCTGCAAATAATTATTACTCTTCGTCGCTGTTGTTGGATCCTTAATAACTATCTTCAAACAGGGAAAATGCATGAGGCCTAAATAAAAATGCTGGCATGTGGACATGTCTCCATGTTTGTATTGTTTATAATTGGGCTGCTTTTTTGTTGCTCCTTTTCGTTTTCCTCCTATACTTCTTGGTTCCAGCAATCTCATGTACTGGTCTAACTTATCAAATTCCTTTTGTAGGTTTACATATATTCTAGTGGTAGTAGAGAGGCTCAGAGGCTCATCTTTGGGAATACGTCATATGGGGATTTGAGAAAGTACTTGTGTGGATTTTTTGACACTAATGTTGGGTATGAAAACAGTTCTTTAGCTTGATTATCACAAGCTTCAAAGTTGCTGCATTATATCTCGTGTGGTTTTTGACGAGGACTAGATTGTAAACTTCTCTTTTCTTCAATAGGAACAAAAGAGAGCCTCGGAGTTACTTTGAGATCTCACTGTCAGTGGGAGTAGATAAGCCATCTCAAGTCCTGTTTCTAACAGATGTCTATCAGGAAGCTGTGGCTGCAAAGGCGGCAGGTGAGTATTCAGTGTTTGCCTAAATATTATAAAACCTCCCTTAAGTTTTGACAATTATCAGGAAACCCCCCTTTCAAAATATCAGAACCCCCCCCCCTCACTCGTCACCATAACTTATGAGTTTTTTTTACCTGAAATAGAGTTTAAGATGACATCGAAGTAGCCCAAGTTCTAATCCCACTGTGTACACGTTTAAAGTAGATTCTTTTTTGAAAAAGGAAATACTTTGTAGAATAGCTCAATTTTTTGCGCATGATTACTGTTGCCATGTTAAGAGTTTTCATGTTTGTTTTATTTTCCAATTTCTCTTCAAACACATGAGAATTTGCGGTCCATCCTACTTTTCAACCTTTAATCACAGACATTGGATTTAAGTGTTAAAGGTGGAAAATAGAATGCATTGCAAATTCTATTTTGTTGTCGTTTAATGTTTATTGAATTTGTAATGTCATTTTCTTCACAAAGCTAAATCTTTTCATCCAAAATTCCAGGTCTTGAAGTGATAATCTCAGTTCGTCCTGGAAATGTACCCCTCCCAGAAAACCACGGTTTTAAAACGATCAGATCCTTTGCAGAAATTTGAGCTTGTGCTAGCTTCTACACTGACTTAATGTATACCATTAATTGTATACCTCTCATCATGGAATGTTACTTATAAAACTGTATTATATGAGAGTGAGTGATTAATTGTCTTCTAGCAGGTAATTTGATATAAAAATAATCCTCAATTTTTTTAGCTGCCGAAGAAACTGGGATATTCCTACCTTTGATAATTATTTCATTGACAATTGGTAAATAAAGTGAGTAAATTATTATTATTATTCCTTAATACATGGGTAAATTAAATCCTACCCAGAATAGATATCTGATAGTTAATATCTCATTTTTGGTGCATTGGTGAAACAATGCTTTGAATCCTCTGTAGCATAGATAACTCACAATTGTATATCTTCCAGTTACGCAAATAATTGCAATATTTATTGGAGGAAAATCTGTACTTTTTTCCCCCAGAGAAATGCATTACCAATGCAGTTTGGATGTTTTTATTTATTTATTTAGTAGAGAGAGAGAGAGAGAGAGAGAGAGAGAGAGAGAGAGAGAGAGAGGAGAGAGAGAGGCAACAATGTTTGCTTCCAACAAATTAGCTTTTGCTCAGTTTTTTCACCAATTGTAAGTTTATTTACCTTCCGCAATTAAAATGTTGAAATCCAACCAATTTGATATATAAATTCTGTTGCAGTACTTATATTTGCAAGTCTATTTCCACACAACTACACAACCGCTAAAATAATATTTGGTAACTTATTGTATAGAGTATAGATCTTAAATAATTCCAATTAATAAGCAAGGAACAAGACTAATTTCTGATTAAAAATAGACATATTTTGAGACAATACTAGTTATTGAATAATCTGATAACAAGATGATAATAAATCATTAGATTTTGTTCCCAACACTAAATCCTTTTTTGCATCACCAAATGAATTCTTGAAATATATTTTAGACCCCAAGTGGATTTTGTAGATTTTGGCTCACTTTGACTCCTATGATTCTTTACACCTTTGATTGTGGAAATTTTTTACAGTTGGTTATATGGATTAATAGTACGGGCTCATTCTTGGCCTCATAATTAAAACAAAATTTTATATAATTTATATAAGAAATATTATTTATGGAGTTCACTAAGTGAGAGGATGTGACTATTGAATTGTAGAGGTTTCTACACCCAATGATGTGGAGGATCTCTACCTTACCTATTGTACCTCTTGGTTTGGTTGGGAATTTAAGTAGGAAAGAAAAGATGAAGTGAGATGCAATAAGGTGGAGGAAAGTGCATCCTCTCTAGTTTTCATGTTTGGTTGGAAAGAAAGTGAAGGGAGGTGATTATGTTTTAATTAATTTGTATTGTATTTGACAACTCTTTTAAATTGGGTCAAGTCTGAGCTTGATCCAGTTTTGGAATGTTTTGTTAATTTATAAAAACTAGACTAATCTAGCGTTGTTCACTTTAGTTTTATCTATAGGTCTTTAAACTGGTTTAGTTGTAGACTAGGAGGAAGTTGGTCCACATCTAAACAGTTCTTGCCAAAATTAGTTTAGGGATGAAGTTTGGTCCAATTTTAGCGAGTTGCCAATAACATCCTTAGAGCTTGTTTTCAGCTTTGTTTCCAATCCTAACCTCCTTTTGTAAAGGTTGCCAAACACACCCTTCCATCTGTTCTTGTGTCCTCTCAACTTTGGGAATTCTTCTCTCTAAGTTTCTAGTTCATTTTGGTTTGTCCCTTCCTTACCTCACTCTGTCTTCTCCGCTAAAAATTCTTATACCAAATACATATTTTAATTTTGTCTCGCTCCTTACCCCATCTTTCCTCCTACCAAACCAAGCCTTAAATGTTATCTTATCTATTCTCTAACTATTACATTTACTATTTGCATCAACTATTGTAGAAAGCTAATTAGCATTTATGTAGTTTCTCCTACTATGCTCCTATGTACCATTTCAAATATTCTAAAGTTTGCCCTTTAATACCTTTTTTCTTTGTGAACATGAGATTTCTTTTTGAAAATTTTCCATGTCACGCTCACAAGCAAACTTTGAAATAGAATATGTGTGGTTTAATAATGAATTTAACAAATAGTAAGAACTAAAAAGTTCTAAAATTAGGATGTAAATGACATATGAAAAAGTTTAGTTGAAAATCTCACGTTTACCTAACAGAAATTATTAAAATATGAATTTTGAGGAGACTGTAAGGTATTAAGTGCTTAGAAAGGGGAGGGGAAACAGAAATTATTAAAATATGAATTTTGAGGAGACTGTAAGGTATTAAGTGCTTAGAAAGGGGAGGGGAAAAGAGTGAAAGAAACGGAAATTAAAATTATTTAATGCCGGAGCCAGTTATATATGGAGGTAGCAAACCCGAGTCCGAAACAAATCAATAGAGGTTTAGGGTTAGTGGATTTCTAACCCATTTCAAGTCTAAATCCGACCCGGAAGAGTAAGGTATAGAATGCTCTTGAACGCCTCCAAGCTCTCTCCTTTGGCTTCATCTCGTCCTTTTGTATTTAGAAACAAAAATTTGCCCTTTTTCTTCTAATATCTCTCTCTCTCTCTCTCTCTCTATATATATATATATATATATATATATATATATATAGTTCAAGGATGAGGCTGCGAGAGTGAGGATGGAAATGAAGAGAGAAGGGACGACGAAGAATCCAGGATGCAGTTGGATTGAAACGAAGAATAAGGTTGAAGTGTTTCATTCGGGTGATTCGAGTTCTATGCTTACTGAACACATCCATTTTGTGTTGAGAGGTCTTAAGAGAATCATGACAGAGGTTGAGGAGTTCTTATGACAATTGTTTGAATCAAGGAGGGATTTTTATGGACTAAGCATCATTCTTAAGTTGGACAATTTTTCAAGATGAGTCTCTGAGAACAATGAATGAGAAGAGTAACTGGATGTCAATTCAAGAAATTGCCATTGTTCGTCATTATCATCTTCAACAAGGAGACAGGTGAGTTAACTCTGATACAATTTGCCTTCAGATTTTTTGATTTAGACCCATGTTTGATCCCTTGTGTATGTATTTATCTTAGGCTAATGGAGCCATTTTTTTTAAATTTATCATGCTAAATTCACATAAATTCCATGATTGATATATTGACAATCTATATAGCAGCCTGCTTGATTAGCCAAAAAAATCCATTCCATTTCCTCAAACTGAATAAAAAGCATAATATATTACAATTAACATACAATAATTGGATACTGAAAATCCAACAAAACTGTATGCAACAAGATGTCTCTGTATATATATATATATATTGTTGGATTTTTTGGTCAAAACTGCTTTCCAAAATGAGTTTTCAAACTATATATATATTAACTACAAGTACTTTTCATAAATGCTTAGTAGCCTAGTAGAAAGTTTATGTTTTGGTGTTTCAAAAGGTCACTTGTTCGAGGCTTGCCAACGGCAAGCTGAGAAGTGTTTTATTTGAATTAATTACTCATAAGTTCTAGTGGGTCGTGGGTCGTAGGTCGTGGACCGTGGGCCAATAGGCCGGGGATCGAGGCTAATCGGGCTGAGGCGCTAAGTGGCGCTTTGTTAGGTATATTCGCTCGTTAGACGAGGTTCGTTTGTCATACGAGGTTCGCCTGTTTGACGACATTCGTTTATCAAACGAGCTTCGTCTGATTTGCTGAGACGTGACCCTCGCGTTTCGTAGCAACGCGTCCATTGATTGCCTCGTATTCAGCAGTTACTGCATGCAGCAGTTACAATAGCATTAAGAGCAATTTAATGTATTGATGTTACAATCTTAATTGTCATTAAGAATTGTAACGGTCACATTAATTGCTAATGACTCTTGAGCTGGCCTTAGAGACCTATAAATAGCGTCCTTGGGCAGCTCTTGGTCGAGGTTGGAAAATCTCTCGTGAGCGTGGAATACGAACGTTAGTATAGAATACGAACGTCGGAATACCCACGCGAGCTTGGAATACGAACGTCAGATTAACGTTGTTGTTGTGCTGTTACTGCAGAAACTGTACCCGTAGGAACCCTGAAACTGAAAGGTTTTGAACCGTAAGGTTCTGAGATCGAGGAGATCTTTTGCCTTGACCGAAATGTCTTATAGATCAATGAGATCTTGACAGTACTGGGTTGGTGCACACCAGAGTACTGTACTGCTGTTCCTGGAAGCAGTTTGGCCTTGGGATCTTTGCACCGGAGTAGGCCAAATATTGCTTTAAGCATAATGTTTCACAAACGCACAAAAGTTAATTAAAAAATTTAAAATAACAACACGTTATCCTTTACTGTTCAATTCCAGATTTAACCATAATTTCTAACAATCTTAAAGTAATATTTCAGATCTACTAATGGATCCTGCGAGGACTCTTGGAGTGGACTGTCTCAAGTTAGAAATTTTTGATGGATCTAATTTCAACGCATAGCGTCGAAAAGTGATTTTTAGGATGCAACTCCTAAAAATCTACTATGTGGTTTCTGAGGAGAAACCTGACTTTGAAGAAGACCTAGAGTCTGAAGCCTCTTGGGATAAAGATGATCATTTCTGTAGGAGTTATCTCCTTAACTGTCTGGCTGATCATCTGACAGATGCTTACACCAACAAGCCATTTGCAAAGGAAATCTGGAATGCTCTGGAGGAGCAATACAAGGATGAGGAGAAGCTTTCCAAATCTCACCTCATTGATAAATTTCTGGACTTCAAGTTTGAAGATGACACTAAGGTTTTGCCTCAAGTTAAAGAACTCGAAAAGCTTGTTATGAAGTTGAAGGATGAAAAGATCAGTCTTTGTCAAACCTTCATTTCTGGTGCAATTGTCAACAAGCTTCCTCCATCTTGGATGCCGTTCTCCACGGACATCCGAAGAAGGAAAAGACAAGTGACTTTATCTGATTTGAAGAGGTTCATTCGGATCGAGGACGAGATTCGGACTCGCACAAAGAATGAGCTCCTAGCTAAGTAGAAGGCGTCTGCTAACATGGTGACTACTAACTCTGAGAAGGGTACCAATTCTTCTAAGAAAAAGAAGTTTTTTTAACAAAAAGAAGAATCATAATTCGAAGAACCTGAATGTTCAGAAGAAAGATTTCAAGAAGAGCGGCAAATGCTTCAACTGTGGGAAGCAAGGATATTTTACCAAAGACTGCAAAGCACCAAAGAAGGGAACAGTACACAATGTTAATCAACTTGACAATTGTGTGGCTATGCTCTTTCAGGTGACAACTCCCAGCA